GCCATCATCACCACCATCATCATTTTCATCCACCACCCTCACGATCATCAGCATCATCATCACACATCATCATTACCATCACCATTACTGTCATCATCGTCCATCGCCATCATCACCACCATCATCATTTTCATCCACCACCCTCACGATCATCACACATCATCATCACACATCATCATTACCATCACCATTACTGTCATCATCGTCCATCGCCATCATCTATAACAACTCACAGCAACTTGCCTTATTATCATCATCTTTCTCAACCTATCTTCCCTTCATTAGGTTCAGCAGAACGGCAAGCTTTTAACAGTCTTTTCCTCGTCACATTATTGCGGAGGAGCCAATGAAGCGGCGTGTATTTTAGCTCATCAACACAAGCTACGCACAATCCGTTTGGACACCAGCTGAAATATCTAAGTGGAAAATGTTGAAATGCTGCACTGTTAGCAAATCACTCTGAATCTCAATCCTTAGTTCAAACAAATACCATTTCCATCTTAAAAACGGGGCAAAAAAAGGTCGCTTTATTCTTTATTCTGTATATATTTGATGTTCGGTCGAGTCTCGTGAAGAGGAATGCGCTGACCAGGGAAAACCATTTCAGTGTTGGAGGCATGATCGAAAACCATGTTGTGTTGATACGTAATTTTTTAAATAATACGAATTTGTTTGCGTTTGTTAAAAGGTGTCTAACATCTAAAAAAAGATGCATTTTTATTTATAAAAGTTTGAAATATTATATGGAAAACAAAATTACATTAAAGAATTATTCCGAGAAGGAGTGCGACAACTCACGTGACTCTAGATTCAGTTGTTAAACCGTTATGTAGTTATCATGGCATTGAAATGGTTTGCCATAATTGACAATCAAATGGTGGCCTTCCACTCAAAGGGGTTTTAACGCGTCAACGTGCACTCAAAAGGCTTTCTGTGCCATGATTTCAAAATGGCGGACTGAAACTCATATGGTTTACGTATGTGTATCTCGAGAAATGCTATACTAACTCGCACATGACAAGAAACTCTACCACGTGATGGTAAAGCCATACTGAGACCTTGCTCGCGTAGCTTACGTGCAAAAGTCAAAATAAAATGGATCATCGGTCGAGGGTAGTGTTGACTCTCTCTTCTCGTATCAGAGCAGGAAGTCTTGGAGATGGCTTCTCAAAAGCATGCGAATGACGTTTTGTAAGCTTATACCTTAAAAGGTAATCAAACAACTCGTCCCCAGTACACCTGTGGCAGTGATTGAGTGTTATGGACTGGTAACGACTTCGTAGCGCATGCGCAGAAGCCTTAGGTTGTCTCTGCCTGGTCAGAACTCCTTTTCTGTTTTCTCCGGCGATACGTTTGATATCTGGAAAATAATGTATGTCTTACACTTAGTGAGCTATTCTGATGGGAATGGAAATGTTTAGTTTTACCTTGAGGAGTTGCAAAGTCAGCGAAGGACCAGATCATTTCCCCGATAAGGAATTCCCATCTCAGACTGTCAAAGACTGGAAAATATTGCTTCATCACCTCAACCTTGAAAAAATATATAACAACGATTTAACTGTTGGAATTGATCGAGCTATTTTCCAACAAGCTTGGTTACTTTTCAAAAATATTAGCTATAACTATATATGGACAAACAACTTTGAGCATTTTATACTACATACCTGATATTCCTCGGTGTACATGACAGACCTATCCTACGAAGATAACAAAAACAGTTGACTTTAGATTCTAGCCAAGCATAGGATTACAATTTTTATGCATAATTTTGCTCGCTTGACTGTGAAAAAAGGGTTGAATTCCAGGACTCTGGATGAGAACGGTAGATAAAAGAATGCCGTCTAATCCCGCTCCGTGCTGGTGCCTTTCTCTTTGTCGTCACGTGATGTCGCGTCACGTGATGAAAACGTAATTATTACCAACCCTGTGAAGTCCAGCAAGCGCTTCAGCTCCGTACTCTGTTATCATGACGGGCTTCCTGTGTCGTTCATACCATGCTCTCATCTCCCATTCCAGGGCTCCTGATATCTCTCTCGTTCTGCCTGGATACGTATACCATCCATAGTAACGATTAAACGAGATGACGTCACAGTACTTCACCTATGACATCACCGTGACGTATTAGTATACGGTATTCTGATTGGCTGTATTTTGAATTATGTGGAATAAAGTGTATTCTAACACTCACCGCCATGTCTTCTTTTTCGCCTTCATGGGGGTTCATGTACGTTACAAATGTCACGGGTCTTCGCTGATAATCTTCTTCTTTAGTCCATCCAATAACTTTTCTAAAGTAGCACAGCCAACGTTACAAAATATTTTATTATCGCGCGCAAATACTAGCAACAATGGTGAAATCTAATTAAAAGAATGTCAAAGGCACGCTACCTCCGCTACTACAGCTCATATGCACAGCCCCAAACAACACAAAGGCGCGCTACCGCCGTTATTACGCAATAGCCTTTGACGAAAACCAGTGGGGGTTGGGCACTTATTGGCGCACTTCTTTTTTTTTTTTTTTTTTTTTTTGCTGGTAATTAGCCATATTCGCCATACTCAGTCCCCGAGTGGCCCCTTTTCTTCAAGGGCAGTAACAAGGTACTATATACCTAAGGTGCTCTGCTACGTGTTCGTATTGAGAGAGGGGCTCGTTAGCGACGGACCACATAACGACTGATGGGTGGTTCTTGTCCCTCTGGATCAGCTCACTCATGACGTCAAGATGTCGGTCAAGGGTGTGATTGTTGAAATAGTCCCTAGAGAAAATACAAAATGTGTGGATTACTAGTTCAAAACTAATTCGTAATTGTTCTATAAAGTGCCAGCCCCTGAACTGCTTTTTTAACTAGTTTATCTAGTTTCTACCATATTCTTTGCTTTTTTAAAGGTTAATGATTATAGACACCAGAAAGCAGAATTCGTACGAGAACGTAAAGTACGCAACGTTAAGTACCATGCTCTTATCGCGACCTTGAATTTATTTTTTATTTTAGAATTGATGAATAGAGCATTGTAAATGGAAAACCTAAACCGAGAAAAAATAAAACAAGAAAATACAAATGAATAATTACAGTTTTGAAAAACCCACAGCAGGACTTTCATCGATCACCACAAACCCAAGCGCATCTGCCAGATTCATTGTTTCCTCAGAGTACGGATAATGACTCGTGCGAAACGAATTGGCGCCAAACCACGTCAAAAGGTTTAAATCTTTTACCAGTGTTGGGTAGTCAAAACCGCGTCCACGAAACTGAAATTTAAGAAAAATTGAATCAGAAACATTATTTACCCTTAATCTGCGTGTATGGGTTACGTTGTTTCTGCGCATCTATACTGCGCACACACGTCGCATCTGTCTACAGTCTCGTACCAGAGCTCCTCGGTGGAAAAACGAGACCGAGGAGCTCCGGGTACGAGACTGATCTTACTTTGGATTCTCTTCTGCGCATTCACCCGCTCACTCAGGAAGCCCATGCGCGACTGACTGCTAGTTCACAGCTAGTTCAAGAAATTGCGTTAATATATGTATAAGAAGATATGATAATCACGTACATCAGAGTCTTCGTGTTTTCCGAACCCCTTGAAATAAAAGGGCGCATCGTTGATTAAAAACCTGGTTCTCAATAACTTGACGGATCTGATGCCAATTGGAAGACGGTAGATGTCACTCGATGTCTTGGTGACTGTAGTAATCTGTAAAATAGACATGAGAGAATAGGCCATGGTGGTCATTGGCAATAAAACAAGAACAGAGGTGGTTAAAGGGAATCCCAAATACACTAATGAAGGAAGGAAGGAAGGAAGGAAGGAAGGAAGGAAGGAAGGAAAGAAGGAAGGAATGAGTCAGTGAGTGCAATGGGCTATGGAATGTAAAGAATTAACTTAGGAAGAGGATGAAAGAAAGAAAGTGGTCAACTTATCATGACCCCCCCCCCCCTCCAACTTCCACCTTAACTGGGCATGAAACCTAAATCGCGCAAGGTTCGCGGATCATGCAAAATTTACTCTCAGAACAGTCAAGAACAGCCCAGTGAACTGATAACAAGCTGTGGGCGTATGTATAGATATATGCCTTTTTACCTTAAGTGTATACAGATATCCTGGTTCGTACCCCATACCAACAGGCCACCAAAGGGAAGGGTTTCTCACACGTAACTCACCACCAAACAACTGACTACCACCAACAGTCGCTACCAGTCTCCCCTCTTTATTTATTAACTCATAGAGCATGGTGATATCTCGCTTTGTGACGTCATCATTGGCTCCCACCTCGGTCACAAATTTTACTATACCGGTGTCGAATAGATAGTCTGTTGCTATGGTGATGTCGGATAGGAAGACTGCCGGGGTGGTGTAGAGAATGACAGAACGGTGGATCCCAGCGTAGTTGAAAAAGTCAAAGCTGTATTCTTGAGCCACTTCAAAATCACTGAAAAATAGATACAGTTAGATAATAATTCAATTTGTTAACTTATACTTAAAAAATGAAATTCTTCTTTACTAAACGAATGGTAGACTAGGCGCTATTATGCCGCTTGGAAACTGCATGGGCAAAACACTTGGGTAGACAGCAAAGAAAAAACAACAACAAACAAACAAACTTTAAAAAATAGAAACAAAACCTTGAGTAGGTTTAATGTTCAGGTCACCCATCCAGGTACTAACCTCCCTCAACCGGGCTTTACTTAGTGTCGATTTGGAAGTTCACAATTTTTCCACTGGACCACGGTTCGAGGTGAATCAGCATAACAATAGCAGTGAAAACAATACACCGAATAGACTAGACTTTTTAACATTATACTTTCAACCGATTCCGTGCGTGGCAGAGATGCAAGGGATTAGCCGATATGGGCTGGGGGCCGGCTGGTCTCTCCCCTGATGCTTCGGCTAGAACATTTTCTTGCGTAATTCGTGCACCCAAGGGCAGAAGGATTTAATCGCCGTCAGGTCCGAAGTCCATACGACGCCTCAGCTCTGCGGATGTCTAGGGGGTATGGCAAAGTGGAGTCGATTTTTATTTATTTTTTTTTTTTTTAAATTTCTGTCGGTGATTTCAAACCCCGTCGTATCCAGTTAATGTTTTTAGCTTTTTTTAAGTCGCTTGTTCGTTGGATTGATAATCATATTTCACTTTTTTTTTCTCTTTAAGGCCTTTTTGTACATGGTACAATCTTTTTCCTTGCAACTGTTGCGCCTAACAAGCTTACGCCAAGTTTCAGCTCTATTGACATTCGTAAGTCAGTTGTATGGTCGATATATTACATAAAGCAATTCGTGTGGTCAGCATTTATGTTAGGCGCAACCGTTGTCCGGAAAGTTCGTGCCGTTAAAATAGGCCTTAATATTTGCTTTATAATATTTAATCAACTTACTTTTCAATCTTGGTCTCCCCAGGTGGGATGGTGTGACGAGAAAGAGTGTTATTCACTGCTACTGTCAAGCGGTTTGGTCCACCATAATCTAACGCATGCGTGATGTCTCTCTCAAATGGTAGATGACCTCCTTCATGACTCATGACTTCGTACCCATTCAGCCACTTAATCAGGTCAAATAAAATAAATAATTTGATATTGTTAAATTATTTTTGTTATAAAACGTACGTACAAACCCCAGAAACCACAAGAAAAGAAGTTCTCACAAAATTTTTAAAAATTGTAAACAATATATTAAATTGAAAACAAAAGCAGCGCTCACGTGCTTAAATTTTGCGTCACTATGGTCGTTTGTACTCTGATTAACGATGGCTAGAAGCCAGTCAGAGAGCAAGAAAATAAATATGGCTAAAAAAATTTTTTAAAAGGATATATTTATCGACTTACAACTTTACAATAGTAATGGACGCTTTCAAATCTGAGGACAACTCGAAGATCCTTATTCATGAAGGACCAGGCTGCTGGGACGTAAAACTGTCGGTCATACCAGACCCATCCCACGAAGTCCCTCAACCATCGATGTTCTGTGATGTCATTAAAACTTGAAGGGACTGGCATGGATATGACGTCACCTGTCTGGGTAAGTATCAAATATTGTTATGTATTAATAGCTTAGATTGAGACTGAAGAGTCGATTATTGGCAGGTTAATGGAATTATAACGTAGAGTTAAACACTGCTCTTTCCCAGGAAAAATATCCAATCCCTTAAAGATTCTACTTTCTCTCATCCATCCATTTATTCTTCCATCCATTAATTCACCCAGCCAGCCATCTAATCCTTTTTTCCATCTGTCCATCTGTTTCATCTAATCCCATTCCATTCCATTAATCTGATCATCCATTTCAGTTTCCTATTCAAGATCGTTCGTTCGTTCGTTCGTTCGATCGATCTTCAAGTTGGAGGTAATGGTTATTTTCATAAATCACTAGATAAAATCCATTCAAATCAGACGAAAACAAAAACGACTTGAGGTTTGGAATTACTCCTGGCGACCCAAACTTCAGACTGCAATGTAAACATGAGTAGCTTTCTAACGATAACAGTAATTGAATTTCCCAAATGATGAGAAATGTTTTCATTACAGTCACAGTTATTTGCGATCGGTATCCACTCATCTTCATTTCATTGTCTTCAACGTTTTTAATCAAAGACAATTCAACAGATAAGCTTAAAAAAATTAATATTTTAATGAAAACTTTTTGTCATTTAAGTTTTTCTCATTTGGTACTAAAAAATAATCTAAAAATTAATATAATGGGATTTAGCGATGGCATTTCTACAGAGTAGCTCGTTCACTGAAATTCCAATTGAGATTGGAAGTTGATTTTTGCGGAGGAAGGAAAACCTAAGAAACCGGAGAAAAAGGGTCCCTTGAAGTCACAGGAGAGAAGCTACACATATGAGTCACTGAGTCCAGGAATAAATGACGATCGTTTCTAAATTCTCTGGATGAAAATATAGTATTAGTCCGCACTCTACCGTCGACTTGGAAGTTTGGTCTCATGTTGTCAAGGTTACAGTTACTGACGAATGGCAGGGAGCTGGTAGTTTGGTTATGAAAAGTTCAATATAACTGTAGGTCGCTTGAGTTTTTGATTACGATTATAGCATGATCAATTAAAATTAATGAAATAATATAATAACAATAGGAAAAAGAAGGAAAAAGGATAAATAGAATGAACAGGTGGATGGATAAATGGATGAATGAATGAAGGTATAAAAGGCAAGCTTTTTTTTGACTAAAAACAAAAAAAAAACAAACAAAAAAAAAAGCAAAAAAGCAAAAATTTCTGATATACAATTCAAATTAAAAAATGAAAGTCAAACTTTTTAAATTTCATTTTCTAAGACCATTAGTGTGCATTGTCAGAACTCATCACTGACAAACCACTTTAAGTCCATCCTTTTAGCGCCTTTGTAAACCATTCTTAATAAAACAGCTGGTATTACAAAGAGAAATCATAAATCTAAAGAGGACTTGTATGTGTTTAGTCACCGATTGAAAATCGCTGACTTTTGAGGTATCTAGTGTGTGTGCTATCGATAGAGAACACGAATCGACATATAACCGCCACCAATAAATCAAAAATAAGGAATTAGTTAAAAGCCAGGAAATAATTACAGATTGTACGCTAGACATAACACTTCATCATCGAACATGACCACAGAAAAAAGTTGACTTCCATTTTTTTTTTTTTGGTTTGCGACCGCATGTAATAAATCTATCGGTTCCAGCTGAACTCGGAAATGAAGATATTTAGGTATTCGAGGTGCGTACACTTGCATTCCTTTATCAGTTATAATTGACGATGTGTATATCCCTTGGGGGAGGGTTCAATCCCTGTGTTATCACAGTCTACCCATAAGAATCCAAAAGAGGGGTTGCCTGGTCCCCACGTGACCAATTTTCCCACTCGTTCTGTCAAAGGTAATCATTTTTTATCACACGATTTTCTCCATTGTTTCACGGTCAAAGTCATTCCTACAAGTGAAGGGCCTTGTCTTGGACTATAAATACATTGTGCTTGAAGCTGTTATTAGCATATCCTCTTAGAGAGCGCTTTTGTATTAGAGCCGCCAGTGCTTATGTAATGAGAGACATTTTCCTACTTCCTTCTCACCCTCCTCCTCCCCCTCCCTCTCCCGCTGGGTCGGGTTCATCCTTGTACTTATGTGGATTTCAATTCGACAAGGCAAAAATATTGTCACGTGATTTAAAAAAATGAATACTTCCCTCAGTAGTGATCGTGATGACCAGAAAAATATATAATAAATAAAGCTTTCTAAGTGGCCGATGACAGAGCAAAAAAAAAAAAAACAACAACAACAACAAACAAACAAACAACATTAGTAATATAGAGCGATTGTATTAACCAACACGGGAAGTAGATTGTTGAATTAAATATAAAGCTTTCCTATAAATTATTGTTTAAATTCGTCTAATTTAAACTAAGGGAAATGTTCTCTAGATCATTTCCTTCCTGTGTCAATCATTAAAAATCATTTGAAAGAAATCCACCCGAGAAAGCCATTCAAGTTTTCGAAAAAGCCATTCAACTGTTCACCAAAAAAGCCAATCAAGTGTTCACCAAAAAAGCCATTCACCTGTTATCGTGAATATTTATTTTGTGCTTGACTGGTAACTACATTCGTGAGAACCCAACCTGCTGCTTTCAAAAACTAATGACCTCTTATTCCAAGCACGAATAGAATTCTAGAAAAGTTCCAGTTTAGGGAAACAAAAATATTAATTCTTCAAATGAAAAAAATGTCGCGTATTCGATTGCTCTGGCCATGGCCATTTTCTTTTCGGTTTAGGTAATAATTTGAATCTTTTTGGAATCACTTTTGGTTATAGAAAGAGAGTCAATGGGATGATCGCCTTCATCAGTGAGAAAAAGCTTGTTAAAACTTATAATAAAAATTAATAGGCAAATCGTTCAAATTTGAATACCATAAGAGAAGTAATAGCATTTTTTAATTATAGATTCGTTTAAAAAAATCGAATGTGTGGGATGATGTAAAGCTGTAATCAAACCTTGTATAGCAATTGGTCATAAGAGAAGTAAGAGCTTTTTTTTTAATTTATGGACTTCGTGTCAAAAAATCGAATGTGTGGGATAATGTAAAGCTAATTTAATCAATCCTTGTATAGCGGTTGGTCATACCACACGTTCTCGAACCCTTCGTTAACCCTTCGTTAAAGGTGTAATCAAACCTTGTATAGCAATTGGTCATAAGAGAAGTAAGAGCTTTTTTTTTTAATTTATGGACTTCGTGTCAAAAAATCGAATGTGTGGGATAATGTAAAGCTAATGCAATCAAACCTTGTAAAGCGGTTGGTCATACCACATGTTCTCGAACCCTTCGTTTTGATAGGGTGATTTATCGGCCTTAAAATCCCACATTCCATCGAGATATTTAGTTTGTCTTGATTCTGAGTCTCGTGGAAAGAGCATTCCTCGTCCATTCTTGCTTGCATGAGGATTTTTTGAGGATATCCTATTAGCAATTGATACAATTACAATTACAATCGCGATTACTTGAGTGTGTAGGAGTGTTATCATGGTTGACTTGTAAATCGATCTAATTCACACTGTCTTTTCATTTCTTAATTATTTACCAGGAAAGCCTATTCAGTGCTCTTTGGTTCAGTAGTTGATAAGCACCTGTCATGTTTTGCCAACGCTACATCAATTGAATCAAATAAAACCTGCTGCTTGCAATAGTGACAAAAGCTGTCTGATCCCATTTCTTATTCTCCTTCAATTTCCCATATTTTCTTATGCATTCATAAGAGCTTACAGAGCACATCGTATCATGAATTCTTTCATAATATAGACTGTGTAATGATAGTTTTAGCATCCACAAAAGTCTAACTCACTCAGTGATAAATGATTCTTTGAGTTCTTAAGGAATATATTCCCAAACAAGTCTTTTAGCTTTTTGTTTTTCTACATAAGTTAGCTGATATCAGACTTTCTTTCCATGACAACTGTTACTAGGGAAACGTTTCTTTTCTCTAAATATCTTTTAAAAAACACCAAACTAGGATCAAAGATTAATAACAAATGATACGAATAGTGGAAAAATATATCGAAACTAAGAGAAAAGAGACTAAAACCGTAAAAAAAGAAAAAAGAAAAAAGAAAGAAAGAAAGAAAGAAAAAAAACCAATAAACAAGGAAAATTAGGTATACGTAGAAGTCTAGACGTGATTAGAGCAGTGTATTTATTTTAAGTATATGTTGGCTTTATGTGGGTGCTTATATAGGTTATTAATATTGATAAAAATGCAAACGAACTTCTTCTTAAATGATAATAGCAGCATACATTGTAATGCTAATTTTTCTAGGGAAAATTCTAAAGCAAGAGAAAAGAAAAGAAAAATTTAGGAAAAGAGAAAGAGAAAGAGAGAAAAAATCCGTAATGACTCGCAAATTATTGCTGGTGGGTCGGTGTAGAACTTGGTTTGCCTCTCTTTACCAACCAAGGAATGTTTTGTTCTTCTCTTTAGAATTTCTTATAATCACAATTACAGATGGCATATAAATTAAAGTTGAAACCACCATTTTCGGGGGAGGAGGATCCTTTTTTAATTTCTTTTCTTTTGTTTTCTTTCTTGCTATAAATTCCCCACGTCTGCTTTTCTCTTATGAATTTTAACCATTTGATAAATCATTTTGCAAAGCATCTTTGTTTAGCTTACTAAACAAACAAAAGATATCCAAACCTATGTCAAGCTACTTCAGCGTAAAATCATAAAGTAGCTTTTTATTTATTCAATTCTGCGCTTGAATAATTTAGGACTTTGCAAAACCGTGGTTTGAAAAAGCTCAACATTTTATTTTCAGGGAGATTTTATGAGTCTGTGGTCAAGAAGTGATGTCTTTTTCCAGCTGTGATGTATCCTTTCACAAAAAACTTGTCAACTCACTAAAATTGTGATAAACGAATCTGTCAGTAGCTCCTTGAAACACAGAAAAACAAATTCATTGTAAAAGTTTTTTTTTAAGGGCTACGTTTTTTATATTCCAGCCGATATTTCATTATTAGTTTTGCTTGGCATTATTTGTTTTTTTCCTTTATTATCCATACGAACAAATGGCAAATAAAAACGAATGAATATTTTTCTAAACCTGGAGAAACTGTGCTTGAGATATGAATTTTTGTCATTTTGAATTATAATTAGAGGATTAAGAGAAATCACCAAAATTGAACGAAACTCCTCTTGGTTTTTTCAGCATATTTCAGACACCGCTAACTTGCCCTGGTAGCTCTAAGTGTTTTGATATTTTAAAGGCAGATTTGAACCTGAACGGTCGTCACTGATCTGCGTGCAGGGGCAGGATGGATTTCGTGATTTCCGTATGTTTCTAGCATTTGTGTGGTGATTATATATGCAAAAAGAGAGGAAAGGCTATTTATCAAAAGTGCGGAGACTAGCGGACACTTAGTACGACAGATTAATAAGAAAGCCACTTCACCTAAATGATTATTAATCATTTCATTTACAAACCAGGTTTTGTTCTCTTCTCGCTTTCTATTTCATTCTTCCACAAACTTAACCAATACCATTTTTATCGAACCCTGCAGAAACATGCAACTTATAAGCTCAGTATTTTTAAAAACTCGCAGGTCGAATTGGCGGACAGCGTTTTGGGTTAAGCCCGGGGAAAAACTATTCCTTTGCGTTCACTGTACGCTCATTTCTCTTTTCCTTTTTTCTATTTACTCGGCATTCATTCATCTTGTTACCGCATCCCTTTTTTCCTTTCTTCCTTTTGTTGTCAAACTTTTGTTATCATCCTTTTTCTGCCTTTGTCTTCTCTCTCTCCCTCCCTCCCTTCCTCGGCTTTTATTTGTATCTTTAGTTACGAGCGAGTCTAACGTTTGTTATTCTGAAGAGAACTATTTATCTTTAGTTTATTATTGCAGATCTTTTATCTAATCATGATGGCAGAATTCACGCCAAAACTGATATTTGAATGTCATCTCAAGCCTGCCAGTATTCAGACAAGTTCTGAGCCAATCAATATCAACTTCCCGCAACGTGTACGAACTAAAAGGAAGTTGGAACTTTCGATGACAATAACGACAGACGGTGCTTCATAAAGTGCATGCTCAAAAAAGTTCAAAAAATGGAACGGAATTTTAAAGACATTTTTAGGCTAGCTGGTACTGGTACTGGTACATAAAAAGCTCTGTCTCTCATATAATAATTGCACTAGACTCTTCAATCTTTAATCAAAATGAACGTTTTTGGTGATCACAGCTGAGCGGTCTGGGGAACTGCTCAAACCATAAGGAAAGAAGAGAAGAGAAGAGAAGAGAAGAGAACTTAAAGGATTTGAAGAGGAATTCAAAGTATAGCTACCTTGGAAAAATAAGCGAAAAATTTCTTGCCAAGCTACTTGACTAATTTGGCGTCATACTACCTCCAGCCCTAAAAGGACCTGAAGCACGATGAGAGTAAACTTACTGTGCATATCATGCATGCAATACGCCACTGAACCATACAGCGATAGGATAATCGATAGCAATAAAAATATGATTGATCAATTAATTTTTATGTTTCTTATTCTTATTCCCGAGAAAACGTGTAAAATTTCAGTATAAATTTTTAGCGGGGGAGTTTGGATTCGTGGGCATTAGCCCCTGGAGGGTTTTGTCATAACTACATAAGGAGGTGCATACACTATGCTAGAATGTTTATTCTTTCAACAGGAGAGCATACGTAGGTAGTAAACGCAAAAAAATGATCCCTTTTTAATAAAACAATTATACATATTCATTATACATATTATAATCCTATATGAGACGGCCTAATTGATGACGTCGCTAACCTATATGATTTACTATCATAAAGTTGATTTGAAAATTCTTGGGCTCAAAGTAGTCAGATTTAATATATCAGATCAAATAACTTTCTTTTAGAATATTTTTGTATGCCTAGAAAGAAATAATTATCATAAGGTAAATAGAAATTCCAAATGAAATACTGTATTCAGACTCAAAAGACACCAGATGACTCATAAGTTTTATGCGTTTGACGTAACCCTTTTGTGAAAAAACCTTAGAAGTTCTCCATGTGGTTAACGTGTAACAATTTACGTAAAGGATATTTTTGACAAGAATTTTTGAATTGAAAAGAAAAGAAAGAAAAAAGAATAATAGAAGGAGAGAGAATAAAGAAAGGTTCGCTGTAGGTAAGCCACGGCTATATTGATGAGAACTGAGATCACGTGAGAAAATTATCTGTGGACCAATCAGAATTAAGCAATATGTAATCAAGGGTTTGCAAATGGGAATGTCGAGCGGATCAAGCAGCAAAAATGGCGGACCTGGAAGCAGTTTTAGCCGATGTTTCCTACCTTATGGCGATGGAAAAATCCAAATCCACGCCAGCAGCAAGAGCCAGCAAGAAGATAGTCCTCCCAGATCCATCGTATGTAGAAATTATAGCAAACTCGAGGCTCTAAACGGTGTGTTTACTCGAGACTCGGCTCGAATGTAGGAGTCTTATCTTTGTGTTCTTCGTTTTCATTCAGAGTTTATCATGTTATGCATAAATATCTCAGTGAAAGAAACGAAGTTACATTCGACAAGATTTTCGACCAGAGACTAGGTGAGCTTTTCTTTGTTAAATCTATGTTTTCAGACCCAAAACGAGAAGGTTTTGATCGATGTTGTTGATTGAACTGCCTCTGGCACTAGTACAAACCTCGCATAGACCTATATTACATATTCCTACTAGTATAATCTCATATGAATAGGCCATTCTTACTAAAATTAACTCTCTCTGTATACTTCCTCTTCTAGGTTATCTTCAATTTAAAGAATTTTGTCAAACACAGTGCGATGAACCGGTTCCTCAACTGGATTTCTATGAAGATGTAAGTGACAACCCTGAGTTGTGTAGAGATCTATTTATTTACCATCTCGCCTTCGTTCGCTTAGCGCTATACTTTCTGTACATTTAACCCTCCGAATGTAAATGTTCTATCGGGGTTGGGCAGTGTGAAAACCAGGTATTCGAAGTGTAATTCGTCCTTAATGATAGGCATTAGTTCTAAGTTCCTCACTACGAACAAGTATTATCGATTTTGTCGAAATGAAATGAAATAGAAGGTTGCGAAGGGAGGCGATTACAGAGGCAAGAATATATATATTAAATAATACAAAGAACACGGCTTATAAACGCCTATCACAGTGTTTCGGAGGTTAAAAAAATAGAGTTATTGTTCTGTTAACGTAATTTCCGTTCGTATTTTCTCTTTTTTTCCCCGTGATTATTTTATTCGCATTGCCTATGTGATTTTTGTAGGATCACGAACGTCCAGGTTTATGGCGAATTTCGTCTTTAATTTGAAAAACTCAAAAAACTGAACACACAATAAATTATAAATGCAATTTACGAAACGACGCAAAAGTCGGGTTTTGTTTTTCGTGCTGTTTGGGGATCTAGGTTTGTTATAGCACTGTTTCTGAACAGGCTTTTAAATGTAGAAAGCCATTTTGATGTTGTATATTGACAGACAAGGAAATGTACTTCGAACTCCGGCGATCGAACGTTCGAAAAGTTAAACAACGTCCTCAGCAATTCTTACTGTATTGTGGTCGCTATTGTTATTAAAGCAGGGGAAAACTTGACTTTAGGAGATCAGCTACGCGTAGACTACATGCATTTGTTCTATCAGCATTGCCTTGGGTGTTATAAAAGTGGAATATTCTGGTTATATTCTAACGTTGCTCGTTCATCTAGATTTGCTTGCTTTGCTGTGCTCAATTTTCATGCTTATTTGTAAAATCTAACCAAACAAAATTCCTTCGTTTGGATAAGCAAATGCTTACTCCATTAAACGAATATGTCAGACGACTTTTTCAGGAAATATTCATCCTAAGTATTATGTAGAAAACTATAAATAATCCATAAGATAAATTTACTTGTAGGAACTGGTGTTTGTCCTCAAAGGGGAAGATCTGAGCATAAATTAAGGCAGTGAAAACACAGCATTAGTGCTCATATCTTTCTTGATTTACCCGAGGTTCTGTAGCTGATATAGTGTATTTTTTGTAGTGTATATTCCTGCAAAACTAAACTGCACTGTTTTTTTTCTGATGTGAGAATTTTAATATTATGTAAAAGTCATGGTTGCTATATAGATACATGGAATACTGTATGTGAGGATTTCTCGTCGTAAAATCGTAAAGTCATGGTGCAAGATGTCCTTGCGTGAATTGCATTTATACCAGGTTCAATATCATGCTTTTATTGTTAGAAAACAGTTTAAGGTAGTTCAATTTTAATAATTCAATGATTTCTTTGGTTGCAATTTATGTCTTGATATGTGCTTGCATATAATATGTATTTATTTAACAACCAAAACAGGTCAATAGCAATTATCTCTAAGCAAAAATAACTTCTAACCCAATTGTTTTATTTATTATGTTTTTAACTCACCAAACTATTCGTTATTAGAAACTTTTTAGTTTAGGTTTTTTTAGAGATTATTCAGTGTTGTGATCTCAAATTCATTCCCTTGATCGGTGCAGGTGGTCATATGGGAAGTAAGTTTGATGGTGTTACATTTGAGAATGTAAATAACAGTGCATGAAAATGTTTAACTATAAATTCAGACTGGATGGTTTATTTGAAGTCTGGGTATTTGAATGGTAATATATTCTATTTACGATAAAAGCTTGAGTATGCATATTAATGAAATCAAGAAACGAAAAGTTAGAGTGGGCTGGTATTAATATATTTATGACATTCTACTTACTAATGAACCATTTTGGGAAAGGAAAAATTTAAATGAAAAATTGAATAGTAATATTCATGGCAATGCAGACTTTAATTTTGTTATGTTTTCATTTACCAGAATTTTTTTTTCATCATTATGTATATGTATAAATTAGCTTGCAGCAGTAAAGGAAATTTATATTAGAAAAGGACTCAAATATTATGGGAAATTGTGCTAATTTGTTTTTCTCAGTTTTTTCCATAATCCTTGTGTTTACTTTGTTAGATTTGCAAGATAGGTACTTATCTGTCGAATTGTTCTGTACACATCATTCCTAGAAAGATCATGATATACTTGAATCCACCAGAGTCATTCAAATTCAGTATAATGTTAAGAATGATACAGTTGTTTAAACATCTCATGTTGCTTTCTGTTACAATGTTTATTATTTGGAAATAATTACGAAAACCAGTTAACACTTTGTAGGATAAGAATGTTTTAGATCTTAGAAGTAATTATTAAACCTTCTTATATAATTTAGGACATGAGTTTATAATAATCCCCCTTGTCTCACATCATTACCTTTTTGGGATTAAGTATTACTTATCAGAATGAAAGGTTACACCTTAAAAGATTATTGAAATGCTATAAAGAATGTCTGTAATGGGGAATCCTCTTTTACTTTTTTTCAAAAATATTTCACTTTTTTATTTTTCAAAAATAATTAAAATTTAATCATGACAGAAAGTTTAGCAAAATGTCTAAATTTTGGAAGAAAAATAAAATTACATTGATAATAATAAAAACTGGCACATTTATTAAGAAAATATTATATGAACTTTTAAATTCTTGATTTTTTTAAATGAATTATGTGACGTCTTTATGTCTCATAAGAATTGCTTTGCAATGAATGTTGAGCACAAACTACTTGATACGTCCACTCTTCCCAATCATGAGTTAGTAACAAGGAGTTAGAACATCACTGGGGTGGTCATCATCAGAGATTTCTTACATTATAGATGTTTTGCACCATCACATGATGGCAGCCATGGTAGATGGCAGGAACAATACAACGCTTTGCTGATAGGAAATAATGAAATTACTAAAAGCAAACTTAAAGCCATCTAACCACAGGCAGTCCAAGCTGTATTATTGGTGCTGGCTATGTGAGTGCATGGTTCTTGCACCCATGACAGCTTGCTTCTTTGTTTCAGGGTATCATTTCCTTGAGTTTGTTCTTTTCTCTACCAGTATCTAGACCAAGCAATGGTTGATATTACGTTGTGTTGGGGCAATTATTTATACCCAATCATTACGATTCCCATTTTGTTGAAGCAGTGCTCTTTCGGTTACTTGTTGATTAAAAATTAACCCCAATTATTTACACTACACTTTAGGTTCTAGCTCTAACTGTATCATTGTGGATGAATTTGTTTAATTTTTCAATTTTTTAATCTATTCTCTTTACATAATACTTGCAACTTATTAGTAAGTTGGCATGGTTATATGTTTGACCACCAGTTATGCCTTATATGTGTTCCATCACTCTATTGCTTAAACTCTGCTGAGCCAATAATGTAATAAGTAGTGCTAAAAATGGGTGAAACTTTACTGAATTTGTCTTTTAGATCTTGTACTTGCCTTCATAATATAGTAGATTTTAACAATAACAAATATATCGAATATTTATTGTTTTTTTTTCGTGAGAGGTTTTTGAAAAGTATATGAAGGGAAATGAGCCAGCTGGATGACAGAAGTAACATACATTATAATATATTGTTGTTATTTTATATCATTTATTTTTTATCTTTAATTTTTTTTTCCTCTCCCTCGCACATATAATTTACACCAGTATTTGCAGGGTGCAAAAATCATAATAAATAAAAAGGGAATTCTTAATATTTATGCTTCAAACTATATGCTTTCAATTTCATATTGTGCAAATTTCTATGAAAAGATTTGTCAGATGATATTTGGATTTATGTTAAATAAATGTAAAAATAAAGTTTGGGCTATCTACCAGACCTATTGTAAGACGTCACAAATAATTTTCAATAAGTAGAATGTTTCACCAAATAAGTGGATTAAGATGCGATTTGATTATTATCTGAAATTTCATAAAAGATATGCTGTTTTTGAAGACCGCAGACTGATTTATACAAGTTTATCCTTGTATATTAGTTACCCTAGTTTTCACAGATATCATTAGAAATCATATTGTATGTTAGATATTTTTTATTATTCACTTTTACAATTTACTTTTGCAAATGATTTGATCTTATTTAAATGACAAACTAGTGTAGTCAAAGATCACAGTAGTGTTTAAATATAAACAAGGAAAAGGACAATTGACATGTGGTTGTTTCAGTGTTATTTATTCAACGTTCAATAAATTGTGAAACCACTATAAGGATTCAAAGAGGAAATGTGAAGCCATACTGTAAATCAAACAAAACAATAATGTGTTGTAGTCACTTAAAAATCTGAATAACAATGATAGCAAACTTTTTTTCTGTAGAATTAATGTATATATCTTTATTCATTGATAATATATATCATAGATTTTTCCTTTTTTCTTTCTTTTCTTTTAAGCAGGACACACATTTATACCAGCATATATTGTTGAAGTGTTTATCCTGTGTAAATATTCCTATTATTATTATGCAGTATACACGTTTGAATGCTAATTAGTTAAACTA